TGTTTTCCATTTATTCATTCGAGCATGAAGAAGACAAACATCTTAAGAAATAATGCACAGAGAGAACTGAATACCAAAATATCTCATCAAAAATATAAGAAAGCATTTGATTATGTGTACTGTACACGTGAAAAAAGTTGCTCAGAAAAAAATTTCGATAAAAAAATGTATCTCATTTACACTCAAAAATTCAAATTTTTGAGGTACAATGGGAGTTTTTCGTTATAAATAACGTTTCAACCACTTTTATGCATAAATTTGACGAAATTTGGCAGAAAAATGAGTAAAAAAAGGTGGAAAAAAAAGAAAATATCGACAAAAACACGACTTTTTGTGCGTTTTTTGAAATAAACGAAAAAAACGCATAAAATTTGACTAAAAGTTGTTACTTTTGTTGAAAAAACGTCAAAAACCGACATGTCTGTCTGCTTGGGCTTCTATTGTATATTTATTGAAAAAACATCATCAATCATGCCATTCTAATGGATAAGATAAAAAGAATAAAAGTAGCTTTCAAACATTCTATAGTGACATATGACATTATGTCAATCAATCAACATACGGAACTGTGGAAGACAATATCGTATTTTAAACTAAATGTCAAAAGTCAATCAGAAAATAGAATTCGTAGGCGTCGAACCACAAACAAAAGAGGAAAAAATGTCACAGAAAAAGGCATCACTCTTTATCTTTACAGTATTTTCTAACCAATAGTATTTAACATATATGATATCAACGCATTACAGAAAAAAATCTTTCATTTTGATCATTGAGTATAAATATCTAGTTACACATATACAGTTAATATATTATCCAACTACTATATACAACATCCTGATACTTCAGTTAACATTGGCATATTCAGATAACTATACTTATATATTCTCCTTAAAGAATGATAATATACTTTAGATTATGCTTGAACAAAATCAATTGATCATGGTAAAAAAACAAAGCTATAGATTTAATAAATAAGTATTTTGATTAACGAAGAGAAATTTCCGTTCTGTTCGATTAAATTAAAATTTTCATTGCACAATCAACTATATGAAATATTCTTTTGAAAAAAAAAACAATATAATTATTGATTTTAGATACTAATAGGTGATAATATATAAATATCTCGAAAATGTTTACTCTTGAACAATTTCTTCAAAATAAAACATGGAATCCAACATTAGAAGATGCTGGTGAACCAGGTAAAAAGATTCTTCATATGCGTCTTCAAGTTAAACCTGGAACAACTCTTGATAATTTAAATATTACACGTAATGGACATGATTTTCGTGTTAATTTTGAAAACAAAGGTATATTTTATTTTTTATTTTGAATCTAAGACAAGGAAATATTGTTTCTTTTTTCTTTATTTTAGCTGGACCAGAATATAAACAAGTAACAATATGGCCAACAGCTGATCTTCAAAAACTCAAGACTGAGCTGCGAAATGATGGATTTTTTCATATTACAGTTCCAATTAAAGTTTAAACAAAACTGATCAATATGTAGCCGAATATCTCATATTAGTTTATTTTATATTTTAGATCCCTTGTAGTTTTATTGAGTTTAATTTGCATGAAATATCAATTAAGATAATAAACAATATGTTCAACTAATCAATTGATTCTCTATAGAATATATATATCATATATATACCGGGTGGGCCAAAAGTAACAGGACAAATATTTTGTTCGATTTTTTTGTACCGTACAAAGTCAGTTTGATCTCATATTTCTACCACAAATACGAGATAGCATAACTCAAAGATGCAGCACATAATCAGTATCTAGATGTAAATTTTTCAAAAGTGTACAAATACAGAATGAGGAAAAGTAAGGAAAAAAGAACATTTTAATAATATGCTCATTAGGGGCAACCATCATTTTATAAATAAAGTATCATGGAAGAGGCTGTTTCTGCAGAGACGACTACGTTAATAAACGGCTATTCAAGAATGGCTACATATCACTTATAACTTGAATCTAGCACTGTTGATAAAATATTGATCACGTAAATTAACCTCCAAAGACCATTTCGATCCAAATTCAATACGAAGAAATAGCATCAATAGAGAGAGAACTGATTTTTAAGTATATATTTGAGACCATTGATGATGTTCTTTTTAACGTTCGTTAAGTGAACAAGTATTTTATTTTTGTACGAAAAAATATATAAAATATAAAAACATTAATGATATGAAAAATATCTGTCCATGAAAGAAAAAATAGAAAAATCATTAGGCATAAAAAAACAAAAAAAATACATAAAATAAATTGTTGATCTTATAAAAAAGATCAGAATACTGGTATATCACGAATTTTTTTACGTGGGATAATCTAAATGAAAAATTTCTAGTGAGATCCAATAAAAATAAAAAACGTTTAAAACCAATGTGACCTGACTTGGTGTACTTTGTGGAGATGCATTTATATTAACATCCGATTTTACTGGTTTTCGTTTGGTTGACCATGTAGATGTTCTTGTTTTATTTAGGTTCTAATTCCAAAAAAGAAACAATGGTAAATTTTTTTCCATCACAACCGCAACTTATCGTTATGCTATAAATAGTATTCATTACTTTTACATTTGTAGTTGGAACAATTGGTAACAGTGAATTATCGAATGGACTTGATGCATATGATGAATGTAATGGTGATGATGTTATATTTTTCGTTGCATTATTGTAATTATTCGATGAACATGATGTTGATCGACAACAATAACTGTACTCCATGTAAATAGA